TGGAATATAATGAACAACATAAACTGATGAACAAAAATAATAATGAACAACATAAACTGATGATCAGACCGTCAAACCTCAGAGGGAAGGTAGGGGAGGGGGGGGGTAACGGGGAGAGATCTGAAGAACTTAAGGTAGGGGAGGGTGGGGGTAACGGGGAGAGATCAACTGAAGAACTTGTATGCATACATATAAGCATAACCAATGGACACAGACACCAGGAGTGTGAGGGCATGAGTGGGGGGTTGGGGGGAGTAATGTGGGGATAAGGACACATATGTAATACCTTAACAACAAATAAAATAAAATAAAAAGAATGAACTCCATCTTTGTAGTCTTTCTTCAAAAACCCATAAACCCAGTCTAATCATGAGGAAAAAATCAAAGATCAATTCAGAACTTTTCTAAAGGAAAATCTGAGAAACTATTATAGCCAATAGTAGCATATGGTAACATGACTATTAAATATATAAAGTTGTATTCTATAACAGTAAAAGGATAATAGGTAAAAATGAAGTACATTTGTATAAGCATGGGAATCCTATATAATGAAAGACTAATATGCAAATCAATCGAATGGTGGAACGACCAGTTATTATGATGTGCACTGACCACCAGGGGGCAGATGCTCAACACAGGAGCTGCCCCTGGTGGTCAGTGCACTTCCACAAGGGGAGCGCCTCTCAGCCAGAAGCCAGGCTCACTGCTGGGGAGTGCAGTGGTGGTGGCAGGAGCCTCTCTCACCTCCACGGCAGCACTAAGGACCCCTTGGGGGATGTCCATGGGGAGTGGGCCTTAGCCAGCAGGCAGACAAACCCCGAGGGGTCCTGGACTGCGAGAGGGTACAGGTCAGGCTGAGGGACCCCCCCACACAGTGCACGAATGTTGTGCACCAGTCCTCTAGTTCTATATAAAAAAAGGATAACATGCAAATTGACCCTAAGAGCGGAATGACCAGGAATGACTGGTCGCTATGACATGCACTGACCACCAGGGGGCAGACGGTCAATGCAGGAGCTGCCCTCTGGTGGTCAGTGCGCTTCCACAGGGAGAGCGCCACTCAGCCAGAAGCCGGCTCATGGCTGGCCAGGGCAGCAGCGGTGGTGGGAGCCTCTCCCGCTTCCACGGAAGCGCAAAGGATATCCAACTAATGGCTTAGGCCCGCTCCCCCCAGGTGGACACCCAAGGGCTCCTGGGCTGCTAGAGGGATGTCTGACTGCCAGCTTAGGCCCAATCTTTCAGGGAGCAGGCCTAAGCCATCAGTTGGACATCCCCCGAGGGGTCCCAGACTGCAAGAGGGCACAGGCCAGGCTGAGGGCCCCCCTCCCCCAAGTGCATGGATTTTCATGCACCGAGCCTCTAGTTAGTTTATAATAATGTACCAATATTGGTTCAGTAATTTTAACAAATATACCATACTAATACAAAATATAAATAATGGAAACCTGAATGTGAAGAATGGCAACTTTCTATACTATCACTTTTTATAAATCTAAAACTGTACTATAACATATTTTTAAAAAATAAACTGTAAAAAAGATCCTGGTAATTAATAGCAAAATGAACCATGAAAATTGCCTTATCTATTAAATAATGGGGGGATATCAATATTATCCACGATAAGAATAGTTTGAGTGATGGAGGAAAAATCCTTTTTGTATAAAACAAAAAGTGAGGGTGGGGAATAAGAATTAGAAATTGTGAAAATATATATCTCTATTGAAGACATTATTGACTAAAAGATATGAAACAACTCTTTTCAGGCATTTATAACCTGTAGCACAGAACCTGAACACTGAAAAAAGAGGAATAAACATATTACTAGTGAGCATTACAAACACATTGTACTTGGGCCTGAAGGCACTTTGAAACAGCAATGCAGGTAGGAGAAACCAAATAGTCCAAAGTGCTCTTTCTGAGTTAAATAGGCAGAGATTCAAAGGAACATGATTTGGAGAAGACAAGGCAGCTATAATTTTCAGCAGTGACTGCAATTATGAAGAGAGATAGCTATAGAAATTTTATAGGTACATTTTGGCTGAATACTAACTTGCACATGAAAAGGGTGAAATTCCATATGGAAGAGCCTAAACAACTATGGGGGGAAAACTTACTGGAAAACTGTAACTTGAACTTTTCTTACAGCAAAAACAGTGTAAAGAAACCTCACTAAACACTTGGGGACATGCCATTGAAACCAAATAAGTGTCATATGGGCTAAACTAGCCTTAGACTAAAGGCTATTGTAAATATGCTCTAGTAAAGATTAAAACAGGAGCCTTCAAAAATCAATTCAATGTGCTAGTAACTTAACAGATTGCTAAAGTAAATCAATGGTCTTTAAAGTTAGATGAATAAATTGATATTCAACAATGCAATATATACTATATGCAGCATCTATTAAAATTATTATTAGGTATACAAAGAAAGAAGAAAATATAAAACAAAACCAGGAGAAAAATCAGTTAAAAGAAACTATAACAGAGATAACAAAAATAAAAAACATATACCAAAATAAACAGTAAAGTATTATGAAGAAGAAAGGACAACATGATCTTAAACAGTCATTTAGATATTGAAGGGAAAATATCACTAAAGGTAAAAAAAAAATAACAATGAAAATATGTAAACTGAAGCACAGGAAAAATGGTAGGAAAAATGAACAAATCATCAATAAATGTAAGACAATAAAAATTAGCTGAATGAAAATTCAATTGAATCAAGTAGGTGGGCCAGAGAGAAAAAAAATTAAAGAAATAATGGCTCTTTTATAAATATTTTGAAAACTATAAATGCACAAAAACAAAACACTCAATAAAATACAAATTATTAATTACAGAGAAATAAACCACAAGGTACCTTATAAGCAAATAGCTGAAATATGTAAAACATGCAGATAAAAATTACATATCACAATCCTGAGAACAAAAAAAAATGTAGAATTTCCATTATAAACAAAGAATGTCAATAGAAATTAGAATGATTGAAGAAAGGAAAAATGACATATATGTATGTATATATTTTAAAATAGTATTTAAGATTTTTTAAAAATCTTATTGAGGGATAGAAGTCAGACTGGGAGATAAGTACTATAACAAATGTAAATTTCATTACATCAGTTTTTCAGGGTTATTGGTTTATAGTTACTTTCAATGCATTGTCTTTGTCTTTGGCTTTGGTGACAGGGTATTTCTAGTCTCAAAGAATAAATTTGGAAGTGCTCCCTTCTCTTAAAGTATTTGGAAGAGTTTAAGAAGATTGGTATTAATTCTTTAAATATTTGGTACAAGTCACCATTTATGCCATTTGTTTTTTGGAGGGGAATTTTTGATGACTGATCCAATTTTCTTACTAGTTATAGGTTTGTTCATAATTTATATTTCTTCATAATTTAATATTGGGAGGTTGTATGTTTCTAGAAA